TCGATTTCCCACTAAATGTGATTTTCAAATATTTATCTGTATTATTGCCTTTTGATCATTTAATTCAATAAAAACAATTCAGAATATGCCTTAATACCATTAGTAATGGAAACATAAAACAAATGAAGGATTTATATATCTAAACTAAACGTCCTAATTATATTTTTTTGGCCTTGGTGGGGTCACGTGACATGATTTAAAAAAAACCTTGACCATATCTGGCCAAGACATCATGGCCTATGTTAAAGTAAGTACAGTAAGCTTTCCAATGAGCCATAATATGTCCATACAAGAGATGGGGGCATTAAACTCCGTAATTTGACCACTTTGCTCTCCAAACGTGTTCCATGCGTTCCTCAGGTTCCATGCCTGAACCCTGTGGCACCATTGAACACGTCGTTGTCGGTGTAGTTGTGTCAGGGCAGGTCCAACTTTGGATCAATATGCTCGAATTCCCACTTCTCTCAGACGCTTTCTGGGGGTTTGGTCGGAAATTCTTCGAAGACCATGTACGTGTCCTTCAGTGCCCGTTGCTATAGCAAATCGGTGACGTAGTTGAAACACCCGGATGAATCGGTCCTGAGCAGGAGTGGTCACTCTTGGTCTTCCACTTCTGGGACGATCTTGGGTCAAATTGAAGCGGGTATATCGCTGCCATAATCGTGGACGATGAAGTGTCTGGCAACGGCATACTGGGACGTCCCTCTTTCCAAATGTCCAATGGCGATATTTCGATCAGTAGCAATCAATCTTGACCCTTTTTTTATCTTCGTTTACGTCGTAAGGTTCGTAATGAAATGATGAGCTTGGTTTGACCTTACACAGTCTTGGTCTCTACTCATGTGTCCGACACATTACACGTGCATGACGTGGAACACTTTATCTTCATGCACTTTTCATGTATCGTTTTCATTTTGTATTCCAAACGTTTACAAACACATTTTGGGATGCGTTTGCGCGCAATACACAACAACCACAACATGATTAACGGGATTCAAACATAGGAATTGTCTTCATGACGATGGCTGTCAAAATATATTGAAATGAAATGATGAAAGAGCCTATGTGTTTCTTTTTTTGAAGAGTGTATATATCCCAAATGATGGTTACAAATGATCGAAACCTTAAATCACTTTGAACTGAACACGTTGATTCAGCCCTCTTATTTAACAGCTACATATTTAGCTCATTTCAGACATAATGCATATGGGTACATATTCCTATTAAAAGACAACCCAGCTAACTAAGTAAAAAGAAACGACGAAAGCCTTTTATCGACCGTACAAAATAACACCGTCAATTGTAGTGAGTGAGTTGGGTTTTACGTCGCATTTAGCAATATTCCAGCCATATCACGGCAGGGGAAACCACACATTCTGCCCATGTGGGGAATCGAACCCAGGTCTTCGGCGTGACGAGCGAACGCCTTAACCACTAGGCTACTCCATCGCCCCCCGTCAATTGTACAATTAACAACATAACATGAGTATGTTTGTTTGACGCCGCATTCAGCAGCTTTACAGCTGTACGACGTGGTCTGTGACGAATGAATACTTAACTGACTTGGTAAAAGTTTAAATCACGACTGGTTCTAAAATGGAAATGTTTATTATGTGTCTTTCAACAATATTTACAAGCACAGCGTATTAGCGCATAACCGTCCGAAATATACCATATATGTATGTCTGCATAGCAAATCTGATCGAAGTTCATACTTATTCATATCTCTGGTGTAATGAACGAATTCTTAAGTTATGTGTAAACTGGGAAAATATCAGACTTATGTGTTGACTTATTCTATAATCTGTTAATGTGCTTGTGATGAAAGAGTTAGAACTAGTGAGTGAGTGAGTTTAGTTTTACGCCGCACTCATCAATATTCCAGCTATATGGCGGCGGTCTGTAAATAATCGAGTCTGGATCAGACAATCCAGTGATCAACAGCATGAGCATCGATTTGCTCAACTGGGAACCGATGACATGTGTCAACCAAGTCAGCGAGCCTGACCACCCGATCCCGTTAGTCGCCTCTTACGACAAGCATGGGTTACTGAAGGCACATTCTAACCCGGACCTTCATGGGTGTGCCGACAACTACAGTGAGTGAGTGAGTTTAGTTTTACGCCTCTTTTAGCAATATTCCAGCAATATCACGAAGGGGGACACCAGAATGGGCTTCACTCATTGTACCCATGTGGGAAATCGAACCCGGGTCTTCGGCGTGACGAGCGAAGGCTTTAACCACTCGGCTACTCCACCGCCCACCGACAACTAGACAGTCTGAGAGCTTAGACGAGGTGCTACACCGTTTATCAATAGATAACAACTTCTTTATTTTCGTGACGGCAGTGCGACGTTTCGATACAGATTCTTTATTTTCGTACCGTTGTCAAGCAAGAAGTGATACATGAAGTGTAGGAGCTGCATATATATACTGTATATAACAATGAAACAACATAATAGACAAAGGAAACAACATAATTGCCATGATTGGCTAAGCAGTAAGCTGATGAAGCCAGTAAGTACATAAAGGATAAAAGAAAGGAAGCCAGAGATGTAGTTACAATGAGATGTTTATACAATGGATGCGAAGTTTATACAATAGACTGGGCTTGGTGGAGGAGTGGATCATAAGCAGATGGAATGAAGTATCCTTGGTCACGGTTGATGGTAGGCTTGTGGCGTTTGATGTGAATGGCTTCTGTGAGCTTGCGTTTAGTGAAGTCCGTTTGGTTGTTGGCGAGAATGGTGATGTCGGACCACTCTATTTGATGATTGGGGTTGGCTTTGATGTGGTCAGAGATAGCTGATTTGGTGTCGGAATTAGCAACAGAGGTGCGATGTTCTTTGACTCGGGTGTTGATGGGTCGGGATGTTTCACCTATGTAGCATTGTCCACAATCACAGTCTATTTTGTAAATAACACATTTCGGGTTGTTGTTGTTGACGGTGGGTTGTTTTCTTCCGTTGGCATGGAGGAGGTTGTTGAGGCTGGAGGACGCTGAGAAGGTAGTGTCTATTCCTGCCTGTTGTTTCAGGAGTCGGCTGATTTGGTGTGATGGTTTACCAATGTAGGGAATGGATATCTTGATGGGGGCTGATTCTGGTTTAGATCTTTTGGCAGGAGGTGAAAGCGTTGCTTCGATGGTTCTGTTGACTATTTCAGGTGGGTAGTGGTTGCGTTCCACAAAGACTTTCCTCAGGTGTTCAATTTCTTCCTGTAGGTTTGTTGAGCAGATGTTTTTGGCTCTTCTGGTCAATGTGGAGATGACGCCGGTCTTGACTTTAGGTGGGTGGTTGGAGTTGTAGTGGATGTATTGATCCGTATGAGTTGGTTTTCTGTACACGGAGGTCTGGAGTTGGTTGCAGGCGGTGCGGGACACAAGGACATCAAGGAAAGGTAGTTGGTTGTTCTGCTCTGTTTCAATGGTGAATTTGATGCGGGGATGTTGGCTGTTGAGATGGGCGAGGAGCTGCTTTGGATCTTGCTGAGGTTGGAGGACGACGAAGGTGTCATCCACTTTGCGGTACCAGCAGGATGGTTTGAAGGGTGCAGTTTCTAGGGCCTTCTCTTCCAGGTCGGCCATGTAAATTTCTGTTAGGATGGGGGATAGTGGGGAGCCCATGGGAAGTCCGTGGATTTGCTCATAGATGGCATCGCCCCAGGTGAAGTAGGTGGAGTTGATGCAGGCGGAGGTGAGGCTGATGATAGAGTCGGTAGAAGCCATTCACATCAAACGCCACAAGCCTACCATCAACCGTGACCAAGGATACTTCATTCCATCTGCTTATGATCCACTCCTCCACCAAGCCCAGTCTATTGTATAAACTTCGCATCCATTGTATAAACATCTCATTGTAACTACATCTCTGGCTTCCTTTCACTATCCTTTATGTACTTACTGGCTTCATCAGCTTACTGCTTAGCCAATCATGGCAATTATGTTGTTTCCTTTGTCTATTATGTTGTTTCATTGTTATATACAGTATATATATGCAGCTCCTACACTTCATGTATCACTCTTGCTTGACAACGGTACAAGAATCTGTATCGAAACGTCGCACTCACGAAAATAAAGAAGTTGTTATCCATAAAACTTGTTATATACTGTACGTCTCAACTTCTAAAATGCCACTCAAACAAGAAAACACTGGAAGCTAAACGGGAGCGTGTACTATTTGTACATTTTGAGTCAAATCTCAAGGTGACTTTTAAAAAAGGATACGAAATCCATATTTTTTGTTGGTAAAAAGAAACATGCCCCCTGTTGAAAACACCAAATCGATAGCAAGACAGAGTTTAGTCCTTTCTCCCAGCACAAAAGATGAAGAAATCAATGCATCCCCGTTCACCCAAGCCTTTGCATTATTTAATGTTGTTTATAACGAATTATACGTAGGTTACTTTGTGTAAGGTTTATTTCTACCCAATCGGGTGCGTGCGCTCAAAACTACCCGTTTCAAGCATATCCCTACGTTGGTCACTTTGTGTAAGGTCTATTTCAACCCAATCGGTTGCGTCCGCTCAAAACTACCCGTTTCAAGACCATACTCCTACTTCCTCCTGTCTTATACTAACGGAAAAGAGAAAATATACATCCATGTCTGACGGTGACTTATAATGAATCAGGTTCGATAAGTTCTTCTATGGTGGTGCTTTTGTTACTGGGATCCAAGTTGGGTCTTATGATAAAGATTTCAAAACGTTTTATTACGGTTTGGCCAAAGTGCAAAGTTTTCGAGTGCACTTTCCTTTGCACTAAATGGCATCTAGACACTTACTGACGATTGGTTCCACAACATGGAACACAAATCCACGGAACAGTTCAGCATATCACAAAAAGCAAAAAAACTAAGACCGAGGGACATAAAAATCATTATTTTTTAAAGAACTATTGCATTTTGATTTAAAATGAGAAGACTACACCAGAATGGTCGAAAACACCCGGTTACTGGTAGGTGAAAATGATATCTTGTAAATTCTTTTTTTTCAGAGGGAACAGACATTGAAACACCTGTTAACAATGCCACTCGCTGTCTTGTCGGTGTATGTGGTGCTTCTGCTGCTGCAGACGGCCGACGGCGCCGATACAGACAGTTTGTACGTTCGTATAATAGACGGCAAGACGGAGTACCGCAACCAGTCTAGCGTCATCAGGGCCTTCAAAGCCGGAAGTCCAATAGAATGTGGAGTTGAATGTAACAAGGTTACTAGGTGTGTCTCATTCAACCTGAAGACTGAGCCAGACAACAGCTACGTGTGTGTCCTTTTCGACTCCATTCCACTCTCGCCTACTCGGGACCTGATGCTGGCGAAGGACACAGAGTACTATGAGAAGGTGAGATGATATTAGAAATACCACCTCAGGGCCGCAGTGAACCTTTTTTAATAGATTGCTCTATTTATGATCAACCGTGAAACTGACACATTTACAGTTAATTCCAAGGGAATATCAACAATGATTTTGACGCCATTATACTCTTTAAGCTGCATTTGAATTTCCTCCCTATTTAGAAACGTTAACTACGGCCCTGGATACGCAATCTTAGCGTCATTAATTGAGGTGTGGATTTCACTACCGCTGTGAGGGTATGTGACACTCAAAAGACATTTATATAAATACATGTAATTTTATGTACAAAAATAATCTGTGAAAACATTCTAGGGGGGCAGGTCTTGTGTTTTCTGGAGCCGTAGCTGAATAGTGAAGAAAGAACCTCAAAGAGAAATGTTTTACAGAAAGCTCGTGACACGAAGGTATAAGAAACGTTATAATAACGTTGTGAGGAGCCCAAAGCATAACGTTTCCTGAACGTAAATTTGCAACGTTGTTATTACGTTGTGACATAAGGTTATAAAATGACTCATTACCTACGATGGCTAAAATATCGGGTTCATATTTTTCATACGATGCCCTAGGACAAAATATGACTTTGTCATGGTGACGTGACGTCATGAACAATGCTATGACGTCACGTTTCTTCTGTGACGTGGCGTTCTACATGCGGCGACGGCGGGAAGCCAGCCTATGTTTGAAAGTAGAATTTGGTATAATTTCCTCGATTTGACGACTTCGGTAATAAATAGAATATTATATTCGTGCCCATAGCATACTATGTTTACGACTCTCGTGCCTAAATATCGGTATATCACTCGCTCTCGCTCGGGAAATACCAAAATATAGGCACTCGTGTCGTAAACATAGTATGACATGGGCACTCATATAATATCCTCTATGTAATACTAACGTTGTGTCATTACGTTACGAATCTACAATCTTCCCACAAAGTTGCGAAAACGCTGTGTTAGCTGGGATGACGGCGCGGGTCAACGTTCATCGTGCTTGTTTGCATGAGATTTAAGAAATACAGTTCGCTCTACCACCATGTATTGTGTATAATAAAGCACACTTTCGCACTGAACTATTAATAGCTAAAGCACTCGGACGCATGCGTGGTAGAGCGAACTGTATTTCTTTTCTAAGATGCCAAATTTAATACTTTTTAAGGATAAATACGATTAATCTTAGGCAGAAAACAAACGACGGTGTCAGTGACCTAAATTAAGAATCCTCGCACAGGGCTAACTGGCGCACTGTTCTATTGATGTGACTGCCCCTTACGTTAAGACGAACGTTACCGAAAAAAACCCAAATGATAAACAGTTTGATGACGGTTTACGTTCGGATTAAATATCTTCTGTAAATTATTTTATTTACATATGTGATTAACGTAAACCATATGTGGCAATATGAATGTCTACCAACGTAAGTTTAGATCAGTACATCCAGATGAAGCTGAGTAGTCAAGCGACATTCCACGATTGCATTGTGGGAATGCAAACATTGCAAACGTTACTGTGTCCCTGAAAACATGCGAGTCGAATTGAGACATTTTAACCGTCGTAAAACATAAGCGTAATATTACTCTAGTGATGTTAGATGAGTGAAGCAACTGCAGACGAAGAAACGGGATGCGACGGAGTAGTTTACTGTAGGAGGCTGTACATTGCGATGACAACTGACAAACATCGTGACGTCGCTTACATTGTGACGTAATGCAAAAGTGTTCGATTATGAGGGGGGCAGACTAGAATGGCGCAGTGACGCCAATACATTGTGACGTAATGCAAAAAAGGGCACATTATCGTCTGATAAAGTACTATCGGAGCCTTTGATCTTTCACCGATTCACGATTGTAATTTACGATCGAAAGATCCGTTTCTCAAAGCTATCGTAGCTACAATCAGATGTAAGCCCTACGATCAACTTTACAATTAGCGTAAATAACAATTTATTGTCGTTTCTCAAAGCTATTGTAAGGGAATTGTAAGTATCGCGATTGTAAATCTTTCGATCGTAAATTACAATCGTGATCTTCTACGCGAAAGTTAGAAATAATGCGTTTACATTACTTCCAGTTCGTGAGATTTGCTTCCCCTTTCAAGCAGAAGAAAATTAATCCACCCTTAGCAAGATATCGCAAAGTAATTAAAACCTTGCTTTCTAAGGATAGTGCATGTAAACGCTGGGTGTCCGAGAACAACCCAGGTTCTAGCATGCTTACCAGTTTCAGAATGGAGCCCTCGTCATTCTGTACCTTGAAAATATTTCAGCATCATTGTAAACATCAAGAACACGGCTACTGTCTCGAAATATCCTCTCAAGGCCAAATTTCTGTCTCCTTTGTTTATGAATTACAACAAACGCCGCCATCTTGTTCGTACACAACAATCGATCGTAAGTAAGTTACAGACTGTCATTGGCAACTTACGGAAGTGATTGTAACTTACAACTATTGTCACTTACAATTGTATTGAGGAACGGTGGAGTGATTGTAAGTTAAAGTTACAATTGGATTGTAGTGATTTACAACTATTGTAGTGTTACAATCGCTTTGAGGAACGGGGCCCAGATCTCACTGGGCACAAAAGGCAAAACATTGGTGAAATATCATTGGTGGATCACTGAAGTACCGTAAAGCTCATTGACAAGGATCATTAATAATATTAATATAAACCAAATGCCACCTTCCTCGTGGTAACACTGATAATATCAACTAGCTACAGATGTTGGAAATGTAGGTCTTGGTCTGCTGTGAGAATTAGGAAGCAGTTGTGTGAAGACCGACAGATTACCGAAATAGCACTATTAGACACCCGGTCGTTTATTGATACCGCACCTGACGTCAACTTTGCATCTATCCTGTTTGATGTTGCCATTAATAAATGCCGGTCTACGTGACTACAATGGTAATTATGAAAATTCCTTCATGAATTTGGTGAACTCCAGCAGTATCTAATGCATGATCGTTCATCCTTTTAACACCCTATACCTCCGGCGCACGCACGCCCTGTTGGCTAATCACCGAGTCTCCAATTAGTGAGAACATTGAAGATGCTGCAGCAAGGTCACTAACATCCTAGTCCAGCATATAACTAGACGACTTTGCACTATACCAAGGTGTAGGCCTTGGCTGGAATATGAGTATATTTATGCGAACTACTAACATCCATTAACGCATTGTTTCATGTGGCCTTCAAGAAGAATGTGTACATGACAAAAAAATCAAAAAAAGTTATTCGTATTGAAAAACGTTCTTTTTTAAACTGTCAAGATTTTACATACTGGTCTTTATATTATTGCATAATACATATATATTCGTCTTTAATCAGTCGTTTGAACACATACTTGCTTAATAGTTGTTACTTCTTAATCCAGGCGTGGATAACTCAAAACACCACAAACATTCTCTGCTTAACGTATTTCCTGGACATAGCGAGGTTGTCATCTCATTCTGTTTTTACTTCCAGAGCTGCCAGCCAACAGTTCGTGTAGCAGACACAACGGCACTTATTAGTTCAATGCTAGCTCTGTACGTGTTTGGGGACATGGGCACTTCCATGTACTTGCTCCAATTCAAGCCTAACTTTGACCAGGATTCCTTCAGATACCAGGGCACAACAGCCGCCATAACCTCCGACGAGCACCAGATCCTCACTGGAGCGGAAGAACTGTACACGGTCAGTTACCTGACAACCACCATCGTTGTGTCAGGTATGGGATGCTAAAACATGATTGGTGGCTTCACCTAAGATATTCCAGTGGATCCGGGGTGTGGGTGGGGTGTGCGCGCGCACCCCCCTTTTGTCCTGAAAGATTATTAAAAGACCCATGAAAACGGGTGAAAATGAAGTGTGTACCCCCCTTTCTCAATAGTGCGCACCCCACCTTTCTCCAAAAGCTGTATCCGCCCCTGATCTGATTTGCTTTTAATGGTAACCGTCACCATTGTGTCAGGTCTGGGATCATAATGATTGGTGGTTTCGATTTTCCAGTACATTAAATCTGCATTCTGTCACATATCCCGGGTCCATTCACTGCAACTGCTTTGCTTTTCAATTTTGTTCTTACCTTCATGAGAAGATTAATTAAACCATCCGGAATAAAAGTTTATTTTTCCTTCATTTTGAACACTAGCATATCGGGTACGCCTGATGGAAGTCCCCAGTCAAATTACACAGGGAAACATTCCTCTGAATTGATTAACTGCATCGCTCGTCCAAGGCCGCAGTTGAAATTGTAGCTATGAACTCTCATTCTGGGCGTCATTTTGATTATTGGAGAGAGATGGTGACGTCTGTTCTGCGACGAAGTATATTGGTGGCGATTTGGATATAGACAGACTGATAAACGGACGGACGGACAGACAACTTTATTTGAGTGAAGGCCATCAGATGCATGGTACAAGAAAATGATTTACAAATACGATTTTACAGTGCGCTATTTCTTAATGAGTGAGTGAGTTTAGTTTTACGCCGCACTCAGCAATATTTCAGCTATATGACGGCGGTTTGTAAATAATCGAGTCTGGACCAGACAATCCAGTGATTAACAGCATGAGCATCGCTCTACGCAATTGGGATGCGATGACATGTGTCAACCAAGTCTGACCTCCTGATACCGTGATGGGTTATTGAAGATCAGTTCTTACCCGGATCTCCACGGGTATATTGCTATTGCGTGATAAAAGGTTTAAAAGAACCCTTTGAACCAGCAAAATAGAATACAGACAAGTCTAAAATATTCAATAATATATTTAGCAAACAATGAGCAAGCTACAATGAATGACAATACAGATATCTAGTACAATGCAACTGAGTCACAAATCTAAAATATTGGGTCACAAATATAAAATATTAACTCACCAGGGTCTTGACATTTACAGTGAGAACAGATATACTGATAGAAGGTTGTTCACACTGACAACAGTTGAATAGGCAAGCACGGTCAGTTTTGACGATGTTGAGCAAACTCGACGATGGCAGACAGATGTGTATAAATCCAGTCTTGTGAAAAGTCCTGGCGCACAACTCAACAACCAGCCTTTATATAGCTCTTACACAGTTCTCGAGCATTCTAGCAAAACTAGACAGCATCATTATCCACTCAGAATGTTATCGAAATCGGTGGAAAACTTCAGGACATGACGAGTCAACAAGTTGCCAAGGGAGGCAACTTTGAGGCACTAACAAAAAGGTGTGCCGCTACAAATACTATTGCCATCACTGAACACTTTAAACATTGTGACCCATAATGACTATCACTTAATCAATGTGATATTACAAATTACCAAAAAAAACCCCACACTCTCATAACAGACAATAAATATTATTTACAGTTTGGGGAATGAAATATTTCCGTTCACTACATTCGGCTAGAGGATTATTGTTGTTGTTTCAGAGGGTCGTCTCTTTTGCCAGCACTACACTCTAACCGATAGCCAACCTTGCTTCACCACTGACTCTGTTCCCCTGAAAGACATCTTCAATACCCAGGACGTCAGTGCTGTCATGAGTGACGCATTTGGACATGTTATTTACGGATTTACTCAAGATCAGGTCATCAAGGTCAACACACCTGCCAATGGGCCTTGGACTGTGGACAGCGTCATTGACCTTCCTGGTGTCCCCGGGAGTCAGTTCCAACACTTCCCCCGAGGCATCAGGGGCGCTACGTACATGCGGAACTGGAACACAACGGCTCTGTTTACCATGTTTTATTACATGATTCTTGATGGTGCAAACAATGTAATAAAGAGAAGTCAGGTTTGCCTGTAATTGGGCCATCGTCTTTAAATCCGAAGTCCCACCTTCATATTTGTGTTTAAGTCAACGGCATCGTTACTGTACAAAATGTTCTCAAAGTCTAACTACACCTATAACATATTCAGGATTGTGTTTGATAGATGTACGTGTTTAGGTCATGAATGTTGGAAGGACCAACATAACCCCTTAAAATTCATTGTGTTTTCATGAGTAACTAATAGCGCTTTCTAGAATATTAGAATCCCTATTCGTAACGTAACTTAATCTGATCTTTTGCACTCCATTTTTCTTTGTTTTTCTGTGTTTACTGTGTAAGGTTATCATGTGGGTCTGCATACATGTACATGATTGTTGTGAATTTCCTTCGGATATTTTCATTGAACTTTTGTTCGTTGTCAATATTTAGTGGAGTTAAAAAAGTGATAACGATTTGTTGCGAATATCAGTTTTCATAATATTATGTTTAGTTGTTTGATCGGCATCTTGAAGTTTCAGAGTCACACTTTCATATCAGTTCGTTCTTATCGTTTTTATCCTTGCTTATGTCACTTCCGGTTATCGTATTTTCCAGTGACGTAATGTGTCTACTTCATATTACGTCATCATTTGTTCATCCATTTATTTTTAGATTCACTCATAGTCAGTCTTTCCTCTTTGTCTCCTGCAGTTATTTTTATATTTTCGCTCTCAAGTTCGAGCGGTTCCTGTGAAGCTTCCCTTTGACACTGCTCATCGCTGCTGCTGGCAACTGTAGTTGACCATTCTAACATGCTCATTGTTTATGAGAGCAAGATCAGACCACAGATCAGCCTCACCTCAGACCTTGAACCAAACATTTCATTTGCCCTTATTTGAATTCCTTCCTTCTCAAGGCATATATTATCTTCTTCCCGAAAGATGCGTTTCAATAAATGTGGATAGATGTTTATATAGTCTACCTGCGGTATAACCTGCCTTAATTGAGAGGCGCAAAGACAAATCACACATCAAAGGTAAATCTAAAAAGTGTGTCTGTTTCTGTAATTCCAACACACATAACAATAATGCATGCATTTTAGCGCTGTTTGTGAAACGACCAATATTGGGAAGAAATAAAGTCACTTTGGATGTCTGAAAGTAGTTTTTTTTACTACCAACATGTTTTCTTTGTGTTATTATCACCTATTCTGCCCACAGTAATATTCCATAATGGATGCATGCCAGGGAATAATCCTAAAATAGACAACTGAAGGCATCCGAAATAGCCACTAGCCCGTGGCTAATAAAAATCAATTCGGGCCAGTAAATTTCCACAGTCACTGGCCCAACTAGCTGGTGAATTTTCATGGGGTCGTTTTGAAAATATATCGCTCTCTCCGACGTGTTAAGTTATAATACACTTATGCAAGATTACAGCCTGATAAAACTTTTCATCATATATAGCAGCTTCATGACTAAACCCGTGTCATGCCGACAATATCTTATCCTCATCTATTTTTGTAATCTTTTGTTTAGTTTCTACATTCAGATTTCGGGCTAGGGAATTATTTTGTGGGCTAGTAACCTTCAGGCATAGCTAGCCCGACTGGCTAGCAAAATTTGGATACTATTTCGCACATGTTCCCGAATTAATTTGTAATTTGTGGACATCAAACGGATGAATACGTTTAAAAATGTTGAAGAGTCAAGGTAAACGTATATACGAAGAAGGTGTATAGATAATTCTGAATTCATTTCGTATAAACCTGCAGATATCGGGGAAAACCGTTATTAAAAAGGCAAAGTGTCGCTTAATGAATTATCGATATGTTTATTGATATTTATGGATCTCTATTTGCTAATGCATATATTCTAAGTGGCTCAAATACAATACTGTTGCCTTTACTTCATGCAATATACCAAGTCAAAACATTGATTACACAACAGTCTCGTTTCCTGCTGACTGGTTTCCGTCCTTTTGCGCAACTTAGTACAATAAATATCGATTTAGCGATACAAATATTATAACATTAAAATTCAGTCGTACATAAAGGAACAACATTGTAGTTATATCATTTGTACATGATGTCCATATGAACCGAAGTGAGTGAGTGAGTTTGGTTTTACGCAGCTTTTAGCAATATTCCAGTAATATCACGGCGGCGTACACCAGAAATGGGCTTCATACATTGTACCCATGTGGGGAATCGAGCCCGGGCTTTCGGCGTAACGAGCGAACGCTTTAACCACTAGGCTACCTCACCGTCCCCATATGCACTGGAAGTAGCGTCAATAATTGTTCCCTTTACAGTGTACCTTCGGTGATCACAATCATTGCAATCCGTAAAATGTTCTGTATAGGTGAATAATCGTTCCTGAGTAGAGAATTGTATATTTGCTCCAACTTATAGCCAATAACATCGAAATGTAAGATCGATGTGTATAGGTAGTGAGCCGCGCACATAATACAGTTTCAGAGTACCGCAACAATGCAAACCCAAAGGACTTCATGTTGGGTTCCTGCAGTGTTACACCCGTGAAAATCCGGGTTAGAATTGGTCTTCAGGAAACCATGCCTGTCGCAAGAGGCGACTAACGGGATCGGGTGTTCAGGCTCGCTAAATTGGTTGACACATGTCATCGTATCCCTGGACTGTTTGGTCCAGACTCGATTATTTACAGACCGCCGCCATATAGCTGGAATATTGCTGAGTGCGGCGTTAAACAACAATCAATCAATCCCTCAATCCTGCAATGGTGACTGAAAGATGTCACAATCGGAAAATACAACCCGCATGCTAGTGCAACGTGTCGTTTATTCTTATAGTGCCAGCCATGTTACTTGAGTCCGCTGCTAAGATAATTGACCTGCATTTAATTACCAGTGGACAGCATCAACGTTTGACAAAATAAACTACCGGGTAAAAGAAAGTTATCACCAACTTCACCTGACCAAAAAATAGAAACAAATACGTTCGTGAGATAAATGATAATTATTTTACAAACAGAAATAATGTTCCAGTAATTTGCAGCAATTCATTAAGAATGAGTCAATGGGTCAAAATTAACATTATGTAAATCGTCACATAATGTGAGTGTGACCACCCTGGGCATCCATACACGCCAACACACGTCTCCTCATAGACGCCTTCAGTTGGTGGATGACGTCAGGAGGCATCCTCTTCCATAAGTGAGTGAGTGGGTTTAGTTTTACACCACACTCAGTAATATTCCAACTATATGGTGGCGGTCTGTAAATAATCGTGTCTGGACCAGACAATCCAGTGATCTTCTTTGAGGGGCATTTAGAAGTTGGAGCAGTAAGGAAGGATAACAATATATGGAGGAACAACTTCTTTATTGCTGTGAGAGCGACGTTTCGGTGTAGGTTCTAACACTTGCTTGATAACGGTGTTAGAACCTACACCGAAACATCGCTCTCACAGCAATAAAGAAGTTGTTCATCCATATATTGTTATCCTTCCTAATCCAGTGATCCTATTCCATAAGTCCAAGAACATCTGCCCAGGTTCTTGTCGGTTCACTGGAGGATGTACACGCTGTCTCAGCTGACAATCAAGATGATGCCAAAATCTGCAATGGGGTTCATGTCTGGAGAAGGCGCTGACCAAGGCATTAGTTGACGTTAACGTTGTGCAGGCTTCCTCGAACATTTCTGGTGCTGTGAGGCCTTGCGATGACAGGGTCTCAACACACCATCCCTGTATTGGTGGGCATTCAGATTTCCTAGGATAACCACTATTAACCAGTCTTATTATTCTCTGGCCTCAAATGCCGACCCATACCATGACGCCCCCTCCATCGAGCTGGTGAATTTTGTGAACGTACTTTGTCGCCAGTGGCTTTCCTCAACGTCGAAAAACTCAAACTGCGATCGTTTCTGAATCGACTTTCATCTGTAAAGAGCACTCTCCCACGGTCACGTCGCTGCCACGGCGTACAGTTCGGTCCCGTTGCAGTCTGCGCTGACGGTGTAGACGGATCAAGGCCATTCCACGGGAGGGCTAGTATACCAGCCATACCAAGTTGTCCAAGGACTGTTCGTCTGCTGATGGCGTGTCCTAGTTCTTGGCAGCTGACGTTGTGAAGCCCCCATTTTGGCCACGTGCATTTGGAATAATATCCCACAATTAGGTTTTTCGGTTTTTTAAAAAAAATATGAACGATTCGTAAGAATTTTTCTGACAGCTACGTTGTTATCGGGGCCATGTTGTGCTTTGGCGAATGTTTTCGGCTTGGGTTCAAACCTGTCCCAACGTTTTTGGTTTTTTATACGATTACATTGAAAGTGATAACTTTCTTTTCCCCTGGTAGTTAAAGGTTTAAAAAAAGGAATTACTATAGCTTTAGTTTGTATGAGGAGTGGCTGCATGTTTCGTAAGTAACCAACATCTACTCCAATCATCCAATCAGTACACACTGAACAATGCTCTCTCTCTCTGTGGGAATACTAACAATACCTTTGGCAGACATATGTATCAAGAGACTCATTTCGTAATTAAATATACAACCACTGGAAATGTTACTAAGTGTAGTGACTCATTGTCTTCAGGAGAAATGAAAAGAAGGGTAAATAAAAATTCAGTGTGTGTGATATTTCGCAAATAACTCGCTCCGTCCTTTGAGGTTAACCATACCACATTGACACGTTTGAAAAGGAAAGTAATCCTATCTTAACATACAGCGAATTTTACTGTGTGGTTGTCTTTGTTAAAATACTGGCGTCGTGGGAGTGGTGGTGACAATTGCTTACCCCAGCGAGACCAGTGTTTAAATATTCATGTCACTACCCACTAAATATATTAGCTGAAAAGTTTTACAATTAGCACGGGTGTAAAAACATGTTAAGTATGTCATATTAGGGAATACACTTTCTCAGTGAAGTACACTCTCAGGGTCAACATGCTGGTGCCTGACACTGAGAACTCTGAGAGCGCTGGTTCGAATCCTGGGTGATACTCGTTATTCGTTTTAATTAATGAATCAATATATATGACAAAAATGATTGGCAGGAAATGAAGTACTCATTATCGTCCCAAACTGGCTCCAACACTGTAGATATCGCAACAATTGAACTAACTTCATCTGTAAATGACCTCACAATGTTTTGACATCACTAAGAACACAGCTGACAATGCTATGACGTCACAAAGTTTGTTATGTCATAACGCTGATGACGTCACAATGCTATGACCTCACTGCTTAAGAATTTTACTGATAACTGACGAAGAATGATTTTGGATTGATAAATAAAATCTCACACTCGTGTCTTCTGTGTAAGAAATACTGTTCGCTCTACCACCATGTATAGTGTAATAGAGCGTCCGAGTGCTTTAACGTTATAATAGTTCAAGGCGAACGTGTGCTTTATTACACTATACATGGTGGTAGAGCGAACTGTATTTCTTTTCTAAGATGCCAAATTTAATACTTTCTAAGGATAAATACGATTAATCTAAGGCAGAAAACAAACGACGGTGTCAGTGACCTAAATTAAGAATCCTCGCACAGGGCTAACTGGTGCGCTGTTCTATTGATGTGTATGCCCCCTACGTTAAGACGAACGTTACCAGAAAAAAAAAAAACGATAAACAGTTTGATGACGGTTTACGTTCGGATTAAATATCTCTTCTAAATTATTTTAATTACATCTGTGATTAGGTAAACCATATGTGGCAATATGAAGGTAGCATTTCTACTACCACCGTAAGTTTAGATCAGTACATCCAGAGGAAGTTGAGTAGTCAAGCGACATTCCACAATTGCATTGTGGGAATGTAAACATTGCGAACGTTACCGTGTCCCTGAAAACTTGTGAGTCGAAATGAGACATTTTAACCGTCGTAAAACATAAACGTAATGTTTCCACCAGTGATGTTAGCTGCGTGAAGCAACAGCAAACCAAGAAACTGGATGCAATGGTGTAATTTACTGTAGGAGGCCGTACGAGGCGATGACAACTGACATGCATCGTGACGTCGCTTACATTGTGACGTAATGTAAAATTGTTCGATTACGAGGGGGCACACTAGAATGGCGCAGTGACGGGATAACGTCATTCAATTGTTACGTCATTAAAAAACTATACCTTTATTGTCTGATAA